CAACTGTCATTGAAACATAGGAGTAGGAAAAACTAACATGAGTTTCAAACTTTAACAGCAAATTTTCATATTCTGTTTGCAATTCTGCCAATTCATTATTCTCCTGCGAGATAAAAAACTAGTCAGTCTCAAAATACATATAAAATGTAGAGATAAAAGAGGTAGAAATATGATATGAACCATTTGTAAACTTCTCTTTCTGGATGGAGCCTTTCTCCTGCTGGTAACATGCAGCAAAGCCCGTGGATCAGGAAGGGTGCAATCTTCCGACACATTTTTCTCACAATCTGCTTCCTGCTTGCTAGAGTCAACCATGCTTACTTCATTAACTAACTCTTCAAAGGGAAGAAGAGGCCCAGCTCTGCAATTTGCTCTTGTTGACTTCACAACGGAAGGCATCTCTTTGACTGTAGAGTGCAACTAAAGCACCAAGTATGTTACTCAATGGTCATGATCACTAAAGCAGTTATAGGATGTTCAGAAAAATGAATGCAGCAAGTACACTACACGTATTCAAAAATAATCAACTTGTGATTCTCATACAGAAAACATACAACCTGCTGAAAGTTATAAGAACTGCAAGACCCAATCGCTTTAAAAAAAAAAGAGAGAGAGAGAGAGAGATAAGAAGTTTCAAATCCAAAGTGCTCCTTTAGTTTGGTTTCTACGCACCAGCACATAATCAACAATCTTTGAAAAGGCAGCATTTTCTAGCACTGGAAACATGAATTTTACCTCCTTTATATTCTCACTAGCAAGCTTTCCGGGGCACCACGTATCACGCCGTTTTCCCTACAATAGGAAAAGTAAAATGAAAGAACAACAAAGAGGGAGAAAGTAGGTAACCACGTAAAATTATTGTGTGGAATGTCAAATCGCACGAAAAAGAGTATTGGCGGAACAAACTACACATTAACACTGATAGCTTAAGAAAGAAAGTGCAGATGCAATTCTTTTAGCTCTACACTAATTCATTATAAACGTATAATAAATTCTAGACAACAAAAATCAAAACTTGAAAGCCCTGAGGAACATACTAAGGATTGAAAAAGCATAATCAGGAAAGGTACAGCCAATATAATGCTTCAAATATTTACATAGATGTTAGGCTTACATTACTCTATGTTGAAATAATTACTTGCATTATCAAAAATTTATTTAGAATGCAGACACTAATGGGAACGAATCACGAAGAACAAAGATGTTTGAGTGATACACGGCTCTAACTTGTAACCAAAACTGGTACCAACATCTATTCTTAGATTGTAAGCATTTACATTAAAGTGGTAAAGAATGAAGATACATATTAGAGGTCCTGCTTAAAATTATGAAGCAATTGGATCTATGACGACATGGCAGGACAGACTACATAAACATATATAACATCAGGATCGATTCCAGCTAGCTTTTGTGATACAACATCTATTCTTAGATTGTAAGCATGTACATTAAAGTGGTAAAGAATGAAGATACATATTAGAGGTCCTGCTTAAAATTATGAAGGAATTGGATCTATGAGGACATGGTAGGACAGACTACATAAACATATATAACATCAGGATCGATTGCAGCTAGCTTTTGTTATAGAGAATTACAGATTGAAAAAAAATATAAAGTAAAGGAGCACATCATTAAATTCATTTTCTTATTGCTTCCACCTTTTACAGAATGCTGAACTTCTAGTTACATTATTCAGTAGTTGAAGATAGATTAGGTAGATTTAGTGAGTATAAATCATCAGTAAAAACAGGGGTTCTAAAGACACAGAATTACAACTTAACGTACTTCAACTCGTGTTCAGAAATGCACACATCATGAAGAATGCATAAAATATCATACCTTCTTGTTGACTTCACGGATCTCATCCCTATTAGTGCAGAATACCATTGAACTCAAGTTCTCTATTTTCTTGGCCTGTTCTTGCAACCTCTTCTCCCTTTCAGCCTGAGCTTTCTTTTCCTCTTCCAGCTCTAAGGCCATTCTCTCTCTTTCCAACTCACTCTGACAATAATTAAGACTCGTTAACTTTAATACATACCTTAATACAGTAACATAAGAAATCTTCATTGCAAACCTTTAGCAATGTATTCCGCAGATTCAAGATTTCCTCTTCTAGATGTTCAGAGTGTAAACCCTTCAAATACAAACGAGTGCAAACTGTCAAGTTATCTTGGTACTCTAATAGAACTGCTCCTAGTTTCATGGGCATGAGTTCACATGAAAACCTATACCAACCTGTAATTTAGCACGCAGTTCCTCAATCTCCTTTTTCTGACGCTTTAGCAAAGCAGCATCAGTCAATATCTGCCGTTACAATAATGCAAGATAATTAGTCATGTGATAATCAATTTCTGAAAAATTGAAATCATAACCATGAAATTTCAACTGCATGGAGAATATCAGTCAAGGGAAATGGGAATTACCTCATTTACATGAGCACAATTCGTCACTTGCAATGCTCTGCTTGCAAATTGAAGACTGCTTTTAGTCTCATCAGCATGTATCTGCAGAGCAAAAAGCCCTAGTCAGCTGTAGATATTCATCCTTCCACTGCTTCTTCATAAATTGTGGCGGGGAAGAGACAAGACAAAAAATAAATAATTACACGTAAAACAATAAATAAATTCAAGAGGTACAAATTTGCACCCCATGCTCATGAAATTCACCTGTGCTAGTGTAATATTGCATATGATAGCAGTATTTGCATTCCCGCCCAATGCAGGTTGCAAAATACGTGTGAGTTTGCTGTCTCGATACGGGACATGACCCCTGCAGTATTCACATGATGCTTAAGAACATTAATATGTTCAAAAAACTGATTTCAGAAACAATTCAAACCCACCCTTGGCTCTCAGTGCCTTCACTTAGTTTCTTTATAACAGTTCCTAGTGTCATTAGGCTTTTGTTGATATGGGAGCCCTCTTTCAGGCGAACGCCTTCTGCTCCAGTCTTTGCAGCACGCTCTGAACCAGCAAGATCCACCAAGTTCTGTATGGGTTGACGGAACAACAAGGGGACAAAAAGATCAGAAAACTTTTCTTTATTTAAAAGAGGAGAATTTAGATGGAGAGAAAAATTACAAAACTAAAGGACGAGGAGAAAGAAAAAGTAAGAAGAAATAACTACACAAATAAATCGCTCAAAAAGTTGCATGTGCAATAAAGCTAAACCAGCGCATAATCGCAAAACACTTGCACATAAAAATGACATAAACGCCACTGCATCCCAAAGTAAAAAATAAAAAATTCCTTCAAACTACATTGCACATCTTAGAATTGTAAATCAGCAAACAGTCCCACAGCTTTGGCCCTCGAAGATGACAAAACAGAACTCTATCCTATAAGCAATGAGATTATAATTATAATCTAAGAAATCCTAGTATTCCTCCCAAACCATTTAGAAGTTATGGCCATCAGGACAAGACCATAACATTTCAGCCTCTTCAGCATTTTTAAACCCCAACAAAAAGGGTGAGATAAATCCATTAGAAACATAGACAAGCTGGAGAACTCAGGATTTCACAAATGCTATCAGCTATACCCTGGAAGATGGGGAATGAAATAAAAGATGTGGGTGTTTTTTGATAGTCACAACAAAAATCCCCTATGAGAGACGTTCATGTACTAAATCATTATTTTTAATTTTCAATGTCCGTAAATAAGCTTTTACCTTAGAAGAGACTTTAGATTACCAAGTCTAAGATAACAGCAAAGCCAAAAACATGATTATTTATTCCCTTGAAAAAGCGATTAAATATAATAATTTAGGAGATGAAGAAACAAAGAGAGGACTAAGAACTGCATACCAAGACAGAGACACGAACTGCATCACATGACAAGTCTGCTTCTGCATCATCAGTTTTCTCTCTACTCTCAATAATCTATATTTACAAATTTTCATTAGCAAAATTGACAGATTCATGAATTGTATAAGAATTATAAACCTACCATGCGGAATATCGTGTGCGACCTACTGCTGTATACATTCATATTTGTCTCCCCAATATGACGATGAGCTGTAAAATCAATAACAGAAAGCAAAAGAGTTTAATTTGTTATCCACCGCTTGAATAATTGACTACGTAAGACTAAGATGAGGATGAGGGTGGGTTTCATTTAAGTTTCCCCTTTTCAAATTTACAGACGAAAGGGAATCAAAAGGAACTTGATTCATTATGGATAATAGTAGATACAATTAGATTCTGAGCATTCCTTCGAGAATGGGAACTTTAAAAAGTAAGAACTGTCAGTACATTTAGATAAATAAAAGGAGAACTTACATTCCCCAAATTCCATGAGTTCAAGAACTTGATCAGGAGACGCCACAATTTCTTCTCTTAAACCGGCAACAAAAATCCCTCGCTTCATGTTTTAGAAAAACAAAAAGAATGTGAGACGCTGACGATTAGTACTTATCTGCACGATGAAAGTAGTCATATAGGTGGAAAAAGCAAACTAATACATCGATACTTTCATGAATTTGCAATTTCCGATGCTCAGGAGCTAACAAATCATTTATCTCCTCATTGTAGATCTCCATGTAAGACATGCGTAAAAGAAACTCCCGATCCATTTCCTAGAAGTGAGAAATTACAATCAAAGAGTATCAGTTAAATCCAATAACAAGTCTAAATAAAACAACTGGTTCATTTGTTGCAATAAGACCAAAGTTTACTAGTTAACCGATATAACGCGAGACAACCTATGGTTACCAAAAGACTTTCATAAGATTAGAATATATAAGTGCATCCCCATCCTTATGTGTTCAACTTGCCCAGTACTCCACATTGATTGTGATGTTAAGTCTCAAAGCCATGTGGTTTACCACATGAATTAATAAATGAACTCGATTTCCCAACACAATGGCCTTTTATAATCTATATTTCATGTGTGTAACTGTCCCGTTGCTTTAGCAATAATGAAAGCTTTAGGAGATTGGACCTAATGAGCTAGTTTTGTCAAATGAATAGAAAATTTATGCAGTCAATAAGTTATAAAGACAATTGCAAAAGGTAAAGGGGTTAATGAAATAAGTACCTCGTGTATAATGTTAAAGAGATCATACACAGCAAGTGGAATAACTCCAGGCTCTGATGCTGAACCTCGCATTGTGTGCGTTTTGCCACTACTTGTTTGTCCATATGCAAAAACAGTCCCTAAAGAGACCAAGTGGTGAGATAGATGAGTACACAAGATTATGTATGTCTATGGTCATGATATGTAGAGTGAAGGAAAAAGTTCGAGAGAAGGAAAAACATAGCAATAAGCAAGTCATTGGAAATATGAGTAGCAATAAGCAAGTCATTGGAAATATGAGTAGCAATAAGCAAGTCATTGGAAATATGAGCCTTGTTTTGCTTTGATTGTATAGACTAACTACTGTGATCATTTGACTTTAACAAAAGTATAAATGATGTAAAAACAAATAATCTTTATTAAAGCATCTATTGGTGACAATAGTATGATCAAATAATGTTGCTAAATTATGGTTACTCATTATTAGTTAATAAACTATATTATGTTAATCATGCACTTTATCACAAGCTTTTAGATTAAAGTAATTAATTTGATCAGGCCTGGAATCTAATAACTATGAGTTAATATAAGCCAAGATTTTGCTCAGGTCAAGTAACCCGCACAAATAGGTTACATTATATACAAAGGTTCACAAAAGTACTTGACTAATATAGATATTCGTACCCTGTCGAAGTAAGGAACTATGGCATATATGTTTGGAATAGATTCCATTTTGAATCCTATTTTGATGTGATCTATATGAAAAGGCAATGTGGCTAATGTGCAGCAGGCAACAATTTAAAAAGGTAATGCTCAAATTACACAAAAATCATGCTCTTGCTCAAATTTTTATTGAGTTAAGACCTGGGAATAATAGTTCAAAAGTTCATACTCACCTATTTGAGATGGTCTTTGAAACTAGATGTCATTGATGTATTTCTAAAATCTATAATCATTGCCAAATATACATACATGTGTGTGTGTGTGTGTGAAGTTCCTCCTGTAAGGTTTAGATTCAGATTCATACATTTCATTCTTTTGGTCACCCTTTTTGTGTCAGTTAAAAGTATTGGAACTTTATCAGCCATTTATCCTTCTAAAGGCCGAAATCCTATTAATGTTTTTATGTAATTATCCAAATAAAAATAACTCAAAAAGGATTTTAAAAAAATCAAAATGCCCAGATTATAATTACCGTGCAGCACATAAGTCAACTTAACAAAACTTATCTCATACCATTAAAGCCACGAACTGCCGCAGCAACTATATCTCTGGTTCGAGATTTGTATACATCAGCTGTTCTACATTCCTCCTCAAAAATCCGATCTAATTAACAAGCAAAAGACTTAAAAACAGCGAATCTAAATCTTCAATTTTTATCAAAAGTTGCGCCGCCTAAGCTAAAAGCGAATTGAAACTAAAAAAGCTTGTACGCACTGAGTCCCATGAAAACATAGGTATCAGTACGACCACTGAAGCAGGAGCTATAGTGGTGTCAAGTACGCAATATTATAATATCGGTGTAAAGGAAGAAAGAAAGAAAATAATACCAAAATCGAATTTGGAAGGCTGATTAGGGATGAAAATGGAATTTCCAGAAATGCACCATGGACTTGCCTTTGCGTCCTCCGAAGAGAGTGGCCTCGCTCTGACAGAAACGTGTATTCTCTCCATTTTCTCAGTATCTCTGCGTGCTCAAGCCTTCTGGGGAGAGAGAGAGAAAATGAAGGAGAAGAAGGGTATTTTATTTTCCCGCCTTTATAAAGCCCACACCACCCCTGCCATCCAACGTTTGTTTTTTGAACTATAGTCGCGTTTAATATACACACGCGACTTTCACCGAGTTTAGGCGCATCAATATAGAGTGCTTGTGCCATTTTTCTCTACAAAGTCTATCTTTCAATCAATGGGGCTACACGGACAGGCTGAAATACAGGGTAGAAAACAGGCATTTGAAAAATCTGACATGGCATAAGAAATATAAAAAAGGAAAAAAAAAATGAAAAAAGAAGGTTGATAAATGAAAACCCTGTATTTCAGCTTCTCTCTCCCAAAGTCGAACCGGAAGGAGACCCAAAATCTAAATCCAAGCCCTTCATCTCTGTCATCATGCTGCACGTTCACCGAATGTGGCGCCATAGCAGACCAACCAAATAGGTCGCCATCTGAGTAGAAGTGGGAGAAATTGGTAAAGAAAAAAATTGTGTCTCCCACCTTTAAAACCTCAGAAATCAAAAGGTCAAAATCCCTGTTTCCTTCCATCTCCGGTTCATCGAACGTGAAGCCATAGCAGACCGCAGTGGCGAGAAATTTCTGTCTAAAGCCATACAGGTATTTAGCTCTACATTTTTGTCATAGATAATCTCTCCAACTTGATCTTTCCTAAATAATTTCCTCAATTTTCAAACTTTCGATCTCAATTTTAGACTAATTGCCAACATTTATATTAACTTTCTTGATGTAACGACTATAATGTTTCTAGGAGCACGGCAAGGGAAGGTGCTAGAAAGTAGAAATGGGGGTGGAGATCCAAGAACATCATGACGCGGCCAAGGAAATAGAGAAGAGTCTACTGGAGCTTCACTAGATGTTTCTTGACATGGCAGTAATGGTTGAGGCACAAGGTGAGCAAATGGATGATATCAAACACTATGTTACAAATGTGTTCGAGTATGTGAGTGATGGGACTAAAAGCCTTAAGATTGCAAAAGAGCACAAGAGGAGCAGCACAAGATGGTTTTGTATTGGAATTCTCTCTTGCATTTAGTTGCCCCATATATGACTTATATAGGGCAAAAACTCAATGTAATGTAATAATATGTGTCAAAGCCTGTGTCATCTTCAAACATAAAAAACATGCTACTCGATGTTATCAATGTCAATTGCTTATTGTAATTTAATTATTGGGAAAATTGTAGCAGCGGTACCAAATCTTTCATTTATTAGCAGACTTTGCCCAAACCTTCATTTTGTGCCAACGAAGATCCCAAAACTTTCATAAATATGCAGCCGAAGTCCAGATGGATGGAATCCATCCATTTCACCGTTAGTTGATCAAAGAACTGACTTTGATTCCAATTTTGACCATATTAGTAAGGGCAAAATAGTAACTTGAATATTATCCCATTAATTAAATAAGTTAAATAGATAAACCATAAATAAAAGAAAATGAAAGAAAGAAAATGTGGGCATCATCTTCTCCCCCCCCCCCCCCAACAATCCAAATTGCAACAGGCCATCGTCAGTGGTGCCGTCCGCCATCTACGGGCCACCACCATCTCCCACTCCAACCTTCTTTCTCCAACTAAACACCACACCCCTGCTCTCGCTTCCACCTCCACCTCCATCCCACCCAAAAGCCCGATTCTTGTCCAATTTTCCCTTTTATTTATTCTGATTCGATAGTGCTGCTCTGGCTGGGACTCCGGCTTTGGATATTCCCCTTGCTCCCATAAAGATCCTTGCTTTTCTTGAGATTCTCAGCATTCATGTTCAGATCCGGAGATGAGAAATTTGTCTTTGCCTTGGCATCGCGGAATTGCCTAGCGGCGTTGTCGTAGGCTCTGGCGGCCTCCTCCGCTGTGTCAAAGGTTCCCAGCCAGACACGGCTCTTTTTCCCAGGATCCCTTATTTCCGTCGCATTTTCCCCAAGGTCTTTTCCTCACCCCACGAAAATGCACCTCTTTTATCCCACCACCCACTTTCTCCGCCGCCACTGCTTTCTCCTTTGGCGCCATCGTGTATTATTCTATATACGCTCAGCTATATATATGCAAAGATTATTTCTTTTTTGATTTTTTCTTTATTTTTTGATTTTTTTTTCAATTTATTTAATATGGTAATTATCAAGTTACCATTTTATCCTTTCCAATTTAGTCAAAATAGGTCAACATTTACTTTTCTTAGTCAATTAACGGTCAAATGGACGGTTTCCATCCATCTGGACTTCGGCTGCATATTTATGAAAGGTTTGGGACCTTCACTGGCACAAAATGAAGGTTTAGACAAAGTCTGCTAATAAACGAAAGGTTTGGTACCTCGGCTGCAATTTTCCCTTAATTATTTGCATTTCTCACTGAAGTTCCATTTCCCGAAGGCATAAAATGCATTTAGTAGCAGCCTGAAGTGATCTTAATAAAACTGAAGAAGTGAATGAAACAAATAAAATACATCTACTATCACAAAATAAACCAAAATGTTGTCGTCGGGTTGCTGTTCGGTCTCAGCCAAAGTGTGATTTTCTTAGGTTCCTCAAAGCCCCTAAAAAATTGATCTTCACTCTTCTTCACACTTATTCGAACCGTATAATTGAGCCGCAAAAACCCGCCACTGAAGTGCAGCTCACGTACGTTTGTCTAGGGCTGGGCAAATCTCCCGAACCGAACCGACCGAACCGAACTCGAACCGAACCGATCCGAACCCAACGGTTCTTGTCAAATTAAATACCCGAACGGGTATCTAAATTGAGAACCGACGGGTACGGTTCGGTTCTCGGTTCTAGACCTAGAACCGAAGAACCGAATAAGAACCGAATCTTTCTATTTTTTTTATATTGAGTAAATCAAATTATTTTAATTTTAATTTTTTCTAAACAAATTAACAAATTAATGATTTCTAAATCCAAATTTTTGGCCCAATAATTTGTTTCATTTCTAATTTTTTAATTTTTGGCCCAATTACTCATTTTATTATTTCATTTCTTAGCCAAACAAGATAAAATATACTAAATAACCCTAAACACCTACAATAAAGTGCATAACGTTGTCTCGACTCTCGCAGCCTATCTAATATTCCAAAACCTATACAATCGTCGGCCGACACTCTGACCTCCGATCGAAGCCGTGAGTTTCCCCGACTGAAACTTTGATCGTAGCGATCATTTGAACAAAATAGTTTACTAATCTCTGACATTCCAAAACTATTGAATGTATCATTAGTCGTATTTATATAACGTTGTTATAAATGTTAAAAAATTTAATTATAATACAGAACCGAACCGATCCGAACCGAACCGAATAGAACCGAACCCGAACGGTTCCATAATTATATTTGGACCCGACGGTTCCATTTACTAGAGACCCGAAAAGTTTGGTTCGGTTCGGTTCTAAAGAGAACCGAATCGAACCGACCCGCGCCCACCCCTACGTTTGTCGGAAGTACTGATACCTTTGACCTCAGCTATTAGTATGTCTGCATTGCTGCTTGGTTTCTTACTGGAAAAAAACATGATATTAAACAAAATTGAAGAAGGAAGAAGAACTCAATTGTATTCCAAAAAGTTGAATGTACATTACATTGTGCTGTATATAAATAGACAAATGACTTGAATTATTCAGCAGCTTCTCAACAAATTCTAACTAACTCCAGTTGTATTAACTATACACAATTGGCCCGTGGACTAGATCATACTAACTCCAACTATTCTAACTGTCTAACTGAAGTTCCAGCTGCATCTCTTGCACATGTATTCGATGGTGAGTTATCCATAGTTGCTAAATCTGTTACATGAGAAGTAACTCATTTTCCAGGCTCCCAAAATCAATTCTCAAAATAGACGCAAAAATTATTCCTCTAAACGATGGAGAGTGAAAAGAAATAAAACTGCAGAATTTCTCTTTATTATATTTGTCTGCGAACTTCTGAAATCATTAAAGCACTGAACATTGATCCTTCAAAATAACAAAGCATAACGAATAATCTTGTAAAGATCCAAACGTCAAAATGCAGAAGATAAAAGGAAAAACCCAAGATGGTTTTCCAATGGACTCCTTCATTTCAATTTGGAGCAAAACGATTTCTTCACCAACGAAAGCAGAATTATTTGAGGCTTTTTCTATGGATTTTGAACAAGGAGATTTTTTCTACTGTGCAAATGAGTTGGATTAACTGGGATCAAATGAGATTTTTTCCTTATAAAAAAAATGAGGGTTAATCCAAACCGGTCTGGTCCACTATGCAAAGCTTCCCTCCAAAAAAATTTATGCCACGTCAGATTTTTCAAATCCCTGTCTTCCACCCTGTGTTTTAGCCCGTCCAAGTAGCATTTTTCATCTTTCGATAGCGACTTTGAAATATCCAGAAGTATTTGAAGCCTCTTCCATGGTCATTATTTGGAAAAAATAATAATAATAATAATAATATTTTAAATAGTAATTTTTTGGAGAATATATGATTAAAAAGTAAAGAATAATTTTGAATTTAAAGTACAGAATATTTTATTATGTAATTAAACACGAGTATGTAAAAAAAAAATTTAATTAATTAAAAGCTATCAAGCGCAGGGGCTAAATACTAATTGTCCATGTCTTTAAAAATAAGAGTCTGTTTGATTACAAAAATAGAATTGAATGGAAATAAAATAAATTTTGGGAAATTGAATTGTCCAGAACTTGTTTTACTAAGAACTGTCAATTAAAGTGATAGAATTTACTGATATTGGGGATAAAATTTATTTTCGCTTCTCAAAAAAATAGCCAAAAAAATCTATCTTTTGGTATTCATTTGGCTTTATTTTCCAAGAAAATTGTTAATTAAAAAAATATTTTTTTACAATTAGAGATAGAATTTGTTTTCATTGCGCGCGCGCACACATATATATAAGTTGATTAAAAGTAAATTTAAAGTTGGTATGCATTAGTAAGCCCTTGCTTGATTTTAAATAAAAATCAAACTCTTGGTAAATTTTGATAAACATTGATGGAGTATATCGTCGAAAATTTATCAGTCTCTTTAAACGTACAGTTAAATTTAATTATTGATTTTGACTTAAAACTCTATTCAACTTTTTCAGTCAAAGTAAACATTGCTAAATATTGATACATCTACCCATTGCTTGAACTTATTACTATGAAAGTCAAAGGAAAGAGATAGGATCTCAAGCCATTGTCTTTGGCTCAAATCGAGCAGCCTTCCGATGCTAAGAACTTACATTACCTACATTAAGGAGCATGTTTGGTTAAACTTTGAAAAATATAGATTTTAGTAACTTTTCAAGTCCAAACATGTATAGCTCCCATTTGGTAGCAATTTTTCAAATCAAAAAATCAATTTTTTAACCATTATTTCATTATTCCAGCTATCATTTTTAACTTATTCACTCACATGCTGAATCCACTTTTCTCTCTAACGGTTAAAAAGTCAATTCTCATAATCACTACCAAACAATCCCATATTAATTCTGACTCCCAAGTGAGAAACTACGTCACAAAACAATACCTTGACGACAATACTCTTAAAATCATGTAAATGAAATTTATGACTGAAATTTCAATCTCATAATCTCCCAAATTGCATGATATTATCACAAACCACACTAAACTATATGTCCAGACGACTAAATAGCAGTAGATGAAATCTTACATACTAAGGAGACAGCTACAAAACATAAAAAAGAAGAAAACATGAGCCAAGGCCGAATTTCATCAAGAGAAATAGAAAAGACTAAGCTACTCGGGGTTTTATCCAGTGTTCCTTATTCTAATCTAACACCATGGATATGTTTCTCTCGTACAGATTACATAGAAACATAATATTTACAGGTTAATATTCGGAGATACATATCAAGAAAACTTTTAAATGGAAAAGCATTGCTGTAAATTGTGTAACGAATCCACATTCAGACCTGAACTCCGATTCTTTGAGCAACCTGCGTAAGTAATGGAAGCATTATAGACAATGAAACGTTCCATTAATAATTTCAACCACACAAGTGTAAGTTTAGTACGCCATATTAGACAAATTTTTTGCTTTTTTTCCTTTCTTAATACTGTCTAGTCATATCTAATCCACATGATTACTACAAACCTGAAATATGTTGTTCTAAAACTAAGTATAACACAACATCTTTTGTTAAAGAACATGGTCTAGAATGCAACATCGACCTCTTTGAGGATCATAAAGATTTATGTTCTCTCTTTTGAACATATCACCAAGATTTGAAAAATACTTGACATAAATTCTTCAAATACCTCTCTAAAGGAGGTAACATCGGCTCCCCAAAGCCAGGCATCACAACCTGCATCTCTGGCACCCCATATGTCATTTCTACGATCATCCCCGACATGTACAGCATCCTCAGGTTGTATTCCCAATAACTCGCAAGCTTTCAAAAATATAGTAGGATTTGGCTTCTCCGCCTCAACCTGTTTTTAGAGTAGATAGTTGCGCCAAACGAGCATATCAAGAATGAGCGAGTGAATAAAGTTACAACAACAACAGCAATAAATTAAGCCTCATCCAGCTAAATTTGGGTTTGGCTACATGAAACCTTTTGCCTCATTACGCTAGATATACTGCAAGATTGAAAAAATAAATCAAAGAAAATGAAACATTGCCACTTACTTCAGCTGACACAGCCACAGCATCAAACCAATGATCGCACTTCAAAGCCCTCAACAGTGGTCTTAAGCGCGTATCAAAATTCGACACAACCGCAACTTTCACCCCGGCTGTTCTAAGAGCCTGGAAAGCTTTCTCAGCGTCCGGATCACAAAGGTGCCAAGCCTATTGGAGAATTAAGTGATACAGATGTGTGAGATTATATGTGCCTATGTGAATCAAAATGGTGATGATGTAAACTCGGGCAAAAGAAGGTCCAGCTAGCATTTCCACATAATTTATTTCGCTTTGAACAAAATTCCAATCAGATTGAAAGATCAAAGTGGCTATTAACAAATGTCTCAAGTAAGCCAACCTTTTCAGTTGTATAGTAGTTATACAGCTCCTCAAAGTACTGAGAATCTGAACAGCCAGTTGAGGAACTAACTATGTATTGCCAGAATGGTCTACCGTCATTCACGTATCTGCAATATAATAAGTTGTATCTTCAGAATTTTCCTACTTCACAATACTAAGCCCCTTTTTGGTTTTGTAAAAACCAGATTTTTAATAGGTTTTGATAAATGTTGATGAAATGTGTGGTTTAAAAATGAATAAAAATTATGGATCCATGAAATATGTGATTAAAATTATGTGTTGACTTTGACTAAAATTTTTATCAAGTTTTCTAGCTAAACCAAATAGAGCCTAAATACTTATCACTAGAAATCCAAAAAATTGTAATTTTGCCATTGAAGCAACATCAGTTATACGGACCAATGTTGTTAAGGAAAAGCATGAGATATGACTGGCCAAAGCATAATGTCAACGGATACCCAAAATCTAAATAAGGTTGAGTAATAAATTAAAAAGAAATAAAGAAAACAAAAGATATGAGAATGTCTGATTTGCGTCTCTTGTACTACTTTAAGAGCAACAAATACACATTTTTTTTTAGAGAGAGCTATTGTGATTAATGCAGTTTGAAGTTAAAAACTCAGCAATGGGGTGACAAAAACTTTAAGGCAATGAAATACTTTATAGACTCGATAAGAAGAGGAAAGTTAAAATATATAAATGCTCTAAAAGATCTTTGAAATTTTCATCAAAAATGTGATTTGATCTCCTCAATCAGTTCATAAGCACTATGCGATATGGGACTCTATTATTGATCTTGATCCCATTCTCCATTAAGCCCTCTTATCTCTTCCTTCTTCAAACTCGTCTAATGGAAGAAGGAACTGGGAAGATAAATTATTTTCAAAGTTGAACTGTACTAATACATGAAAAAAGATAGATGGAGTGTAACTTTTTCCTTTCCTCCCACTTCCACTGTTGAAAAGTGATAATAATGTCATCATTTTTTGTTACATGAGAAACTACTTGAAATCACGAATAAATGAAATGCCTGAATGAGAGAGACGTCAAAAGGGCAAGAGGTTGGCATTAAAATATATCAAAAAAGAAAAATATGAAATGGACTAAATTGCTGGGGCAAGCCTCTGGTGAACCCCAAGAAGGGCAACCGGAAAACAGAGAGAAAAAAATATTCCTTGAAGTGTTTTCACAATATATACACGACAACTTATTCAACAACAAAAGTACAAGGAAAAATTCAATGACTTTGCATTGAATATTAAATGATTGACAAAGCACATTGAAGGTAGAGTTAGTAAATCTGTTTGATGGTATTTTTTAGACATAAATGCCACAAGCAAAAAAGCTTTTACGCAAGACGCTAATGCCCCTCAAACAATAAGTGGAACATCTTTACATTGTCCAAGAAAAGCAATAATCTGCACGTTGCAATTTGCCACAGTTCCATCAATGGGAGCAAGTCAAAGTTTCATAGTAACACAATCATGTGCAGCCTCAAAAGGGAGAAAGCTAGCATCAGATGAAAATCAAATTCGAAATCATTAAAAACAAAATATCACCTGAGGCGCGATTTACCCCAAGGCTGCTCATAAGCCCATCTGTATCTGCTCAATATCTCACTTTCAGAATACTCCACTCCATACTTTTCCCCAATTTGCCTATAAATCTACATCACAAGAAGAAATAAAACAAAGAAACAATTGATTGTTTTCAAATTCGAAGTTACAAGAAGAAAGTTGAATGTGTAAGTATCTCTAGTAGTAAATTAGTAATTCAATGCAACAAAGAAAAATGTGCAGAGAAAATAGAATGCCAAAATAATAAACATGGATAAAACAGGGGTGTATAAATGCCAATTCTGGTATTAAAGTAAATGTAAATAATCAAGAAAGATAAGAAGAAAAAATGGATAATTTTGTTCCAAAACAAGAAACTTGATCTTGAATCTTTCCCCCCATAAAATATACAAGAAATTGGGAACAAAAAAGTCTGAAAAGCCCACTCTGGTAGAATAGAAAATGTAACTTTATAAATTATCAAAAAGTATTAAAGAATTAAACTCTAAAACAAGGAATTCGATCTTGAATCTTGCCTAGAAAACAACATGCATGCCAATTGCCTCAATCACAAAAGAAAATCTGAAAATGCCCTTTCATCAGATATGAAAAGAAATCGTATGACGCAAATTTACAATTTACATATACATGTCTGTGTGTCTGAGTGTGTGAGAGGGAAAACACGAACCTGGGCCATGGGCTGGGAAGGAACAAGTAGAGTGCCCACTGCGTCGACAAAGAGGGCTTTATGGGTCAACCCGCCATACAGATTCCTCCGGTAATCCTCGTACTCCTTCAACAATCCGAATAATCTCGACCCATTCAACACCTCAGCAGATGGTGAAGCCGTTTCGGCCTCAACCGCAGCACTTGCAGCTGAGCTCGAGAATGAACAACACGATAAAGATTCGGATTCTCTAAACGGGTCCAGCCGGAAACCATTTCTGGATCCACGAGCAAGAGCGGAACGCTGCGTTTTTGTGGTGAAGAGTTGAAGGATCTTGGTTCTAGTTGTTAGAGACATTCTTGCAAACATTTCTACATTTTCATGTTCATGCTTCTTATATAAATAAAAAAATATCCAGTGAAATAAACTTTACTGATGCCATATTTGAGAGAATTTAGGGGAAACTTTTTGTTAACACGACCCTTTTTAATAAAATGACATTCTTTTCAAAATATTCATTTTTGAGTGGTTATATTATCATAATAATTTTTATTTGATATACCCCATTTGATCTCCATTAAATTACATTACATTTTTTTCTCTCCTATTTTCAACCACACAATCTTTTATAAAATAATATTACACGTAAATCGAAAACTTTTACTTCTTTTTCAACCACTCATTTTTCTAAAAAATATTATTCCCCTCCCCCATTTTCATTTTTAGGTAATGGGCATCAAACAGGGGCTATATATTAATACAATTAAGTTCTTTAATATTTGCTTATTTTAGCAATTATTTTCTTAACTTTTCATCAACAAATTCTTATATTCAACATTCAATTAACTAATACATCTCTTTTTTATGATGATTTATATAAAAATATTTCATTTTCATGTTCTGAAATGAGGTAAAAATATTTTTCACACTTTTATTATTTTTTAAATATGATGGAAAAACAAGTTTTTTACCCCATTTTAATGGATTTTTGGACATAAAATTTGTTATCAAATACAAAAATATATTACATAATAAAAAGTCTGATAATAAGAATGACGTGAAAACTATTAGGGGCATAAATGTTATAATGTGTAAAGATTAAGAACCTTAAATGCAATTAAAATATAGTGCAAGAAATAAAAAATGTGTTGCGAATATAATTACCCTACGTTTTATTAGTTAAAAAAAAAATCCTTCGATTAAAACAACCTCTACTTAAATTTTAACTTTGATCCAAATGAGTCAAAAGATACTCTATACACGAAGAAAATGATAACTAGTGCAAATAAATTACGTCGATATATTTTTACGATTGTACTATATATACATCATCACTTACTAATTTATTTATCGACAGATAATGTAACAAAATTTGATTGAGTTAAAATCTCATTAACCAAGCTCTTGTTTGAGCCCCCATTTTAAGTTAAAGAATGTATTTTTAAATACTGATTAATTGAGAATGTGTGGCTAAAAATTAAGAAAAAGTTTTCAATCTGCGTGTAATATTATTTTATTGAAAAACATATGGTTGAAAATAAATTTTGAAAAAATGAATTTTTGGAAGTTCTCAAACAGTGAATGAAAAATTTATTATTTCAAAATGAATTTTTGGAAGTTCTCAAACAGTGAATGAAAAATTTATTAAATGGTAATGTACAAAAAGCATTTTTTTTAATTGGTCGACTATATACGTTATGAAATATTTATTGTGCATCATCACATATTCTTTTCTAAATTGATGAGGTGGTTAAGAGAGAGAGATTTTGAATCAATTAAATCTTGTTACATTTTCCGTTGATAAATAAATTTATAAATTGTGACGTAAATATAACAAAATCGATATAAGTTAATATTAAAAGTTCATGGATCACAAAAGTTAATTAGAAACCAAAAGACAATTGTCAAAGATTTCGCATTTTTAATTATAGGCTTCGTTTGGTACACATTAATGTAAAAATGAGAATAAAAAATATAGTCGTTATGGACCCCACACAAGAGATAAAAATAATTGGGAATAACGATCATCTTTTTCATTTTAATGGACAAATAATGAAAAATAAAGGGGTGAATAATTTTATTCACATTACAAAATTATGTCAACGTCAATCGGAACGTGTAAATAATAAAATCCAAAGTTTTTAGTTGAATTTAAATTATTTCCACGAATTACGAACTTCAAAAGATAATTTGTTAGGTAATTAAACAAAAGTTATCCTAATGGAAACTTCGTTGAATCCGTGTCAGCAAATTCCCATCCCAGCATGGGATCCATATCACAAAGATGGATAAGGCCCACCTTTCAATGTCAAACACGTGGGACCCATTCCTCTAATCTAATTAGTACAAGTCTATGTCTATCTGACACCTGGTTTCTTCTGACTGGCTCGTTGCACGAAAGGAATAGCATTGTGTATTTTTTAGGAAAATTGTGTGTAACGAATTTCCTCCTACAAAAGTTTTCCAGATACTTACATGGGCATGTAAATAAAGAGAAGTGATATATGTACATAATTATCTATATAATGGTATTTATAATTACACGTGGTACTGAATCCAATTTTTAATTCAAATCTTACACTTGCCCATCAACAACCAGATGATTGTCACATCACATTATGGACACCATTATGTGTAATAATGATATATAAGTAGAATTTTTCGTAAATAAAATAATTCAAAAAATAACCTACTCATTTTATGCTGTGTGTATTTTGAAAAGAATCTGCAAAAAATTGTTCTGTACGTGCAGCAAAACTCTATTTTTTAGGTTACTCGTTCATATATATTATGTTCAAATATTATTACGGGAATCCTCGTATTAATGAAATATATTTGATGAAATAGAAATATAATAGTATTATTTGATGTATATATTTTATAAATGCATTTTTTTTTTTATTTGAAATGATTTTGAAAAATAAGTAAACATATGACTTCGTGTGGAGTCTATCATTCTTACCATGATATCCCTAGAAGTAAAAAGAATTCCAATTCTCATTTCATCTAAAACTTATCAAGAGCTAGAATAGGTTTATAAGCCCCTGTTTGGCTTCCCATTATTTCAAATTATAATTTTCTCTCTCATTTTCAATCACAAAATCTTCTATAAAATAATATTACACGTAATCGAGAAATTTTTCCTTCTTTTTCAACCGAACATTCTCTAAAAAATACCATTCCTAAAATTATAAATTGAAATAACGAGGGTCAAATAAGAGCTAAACTGAATCATTAAACTCCCAACAAGGGCTAAACTGAATCATTAAACCCCCCTATAACTAAAAAATTATGTAGGGCATTTTCCTATTCCTTCTACGGGGCAATCTCTTAAACCAAAACACGTTTATTTTTTCTTGATATTTTCTAGTGTTTACAATAAATACTTCTCGAAAACATATTTTAACAATAATTTTGGTGTTCAATTAAGAATTTCCTAATTCTTAATTGATATTTTATGTTGTTCACGAAATACTCAAAATCAATTTATCTTTTGAATTTTCGAACTTAATTTTAATTATTTTTATATCATTTCGATCTCGTATCCATAAATAAGTTTCATACATTATCAAGTATCAATATTTTGAAATTTCAAAAGTCTTGACAAAAAGTTAGTGAGAATATTTGTCTACATGTTATATGTGGCCCTCATGCGATTCCAATAAGAGCCACGAAAGTATTTGAGGCAGAAAACGATTGGAGTTGAGGGTGAAGAAATTATTAGTCAAAGACTTGTGGTAGAAGTGGTTAGGGACCCAACCGGAGGCAAAGTAGAGGCTTGAATTGAACATGGCCCTTGTCAAAAACCAAGCCAAATGTAGCCACAAGTTACATGATTGACATTGATACTTCAATCATAACACCTCATTTTTCTTTGGAAAGCGATATTGGAGTGAATCGATGGTACTAAGTTTTGAAGTTCAATTATAAAATATTAACTTTTTTTAAAAAAAATATTAATTTTATTAAGAGGATAAGAGGACTAATGTCTACTACAATATGATGTCTCATTTTACTAAACGTTACAATTGAAATTAGACTGTTCGCTTGACTTTAGATGAAACAAATTGTTATTCTTTGAGCTACTTTGTCAAGTTGTGTAATTGAGTTACGTCATTGTTTGAAACCCATTTCAAAGTTAACTTATTCTTTTTCAAAACTCATTTTTATTCACA